AGTAGTAGTAGTCGTAGTAGCAGGAGTAGTATACGAGTCAGCAGTATGGTGGTTGGCGTGTCAACGCCGTGGACACCCTTTGAGAGCCAGAACCCGAATGCTCCATCTGTCCGGAAAAGCCTACAATCTCAAATCCAAGATGCTGATTTTTGAAACGCCAAGTTCTTAACCCGAGCTACGACTCGAGCTGCAAACCCCAACCCCTTTGCCAGGCCCAAAAACCCTTCCCCCAGCTGGTCCCTGCCGGGCCGCTTTCCGTACTTTCCATCGCCTCTATCTTGGCATTGCTCTTTTCGAAATCCTGGCGGGCCTCTTCCGTCCTGTTGGGGCTGCTGTCTTTGGGATAAGGCTCGGGGCGAAGTTTTGAGATAAGGCTTTCTTGGTGTTTAAAGTCCCAACGAGGAACTTATTGCTTCGTAGCGGATGGGGGGCTTCAGGAGCTTGAGCGCCTGCTTTCTGGCTGGCGAATCCGTGCTTATTGCGTCAGTGAGCTTGGAGCATAGCAACATCTGGGATTGATTCAAAGCACTGACAGGTGTGCCGGAGATAGAGACTTAGCTCTATTTACAGGTACATGAGTATTCAGTTCTGCGTACTCCCGGGCTCTGTGACGTCCTTTTGCTGCAGATAACCTGTTGAGTTTGCCACATGTGCACAGCCAACTGCCAGCTCACTTGACTCCCGAGAAACTCACCTCTGGCCTTCAACAACTTTTGCAGAATTAAAGTGAAACGGACGACTTCGACAGGAAGCATGACAGGGCTCTTCACCCACATGCATGTTCGCCCACGGCCTCTTCCTTGCCGCCTGAATGACCTCGTCTTGTTTCTTCTCATACTTCAGCTTGAGGTCCTGCAGCAAGCTCCCAAAGCGTGCTTTTATGCTCCATACCTTACGACGACCCTGACCCTGAGATTGCTCCGAACTGCAAACGGCCTGACCACGGTGGCTGGACTCCGGGATCGTGAGGCTTGATCTTCTCCTCCTTAAAAGATCATGGGACGTAGTAGCTAGGGTGATTATCAGGGTTGCTATACTTATAATTGCTCACAGTAGCAGCCAGCAGGTTGGAACGTCATTATCCTCATGCCCTTTGAGGTAAAGTATAGGGAATCCCAGCGCCAATCATCCTAAATCCATGTTCCAACTTTCGGCGGTTCAATTTTTACCCCCAGGAAAGGTACTTACAACCATATTTACTAAGTTGCATAATCTTGTCCTCAGGGCCAGGGAAGAGCCTGAGGATTTTGGGGCTTTGATGCGGTCGTCAGCTTCACAACTACTTGGAGGATCATGGGACGTAGTAGGTACGGTTATAAGTACCTTAATTGAGGGGTTTGTAAGTAATTATAAGTCTACTTAGATGAGGGGTTGATAGGTAATTATGAGTATATAGTTTCCCGTAATAATAACCCTAGCTGCTAAGTCCGGAAATTCCTTTAAGTCTAGATACACCCAAGAGCCCAAACCCTAAACCGGGCTCACAAAAGGTTACTACATGAGCAGGTGGGCCCTAAACCCGAAACCTTAAACCCTGGTGCTTGAGCCTTGCCCGTGCGGGGACGGATCTTTGCAGGGCAGATTAGGCCGCATGAGGCCCATACTTCCAGGATCAGGGTGTATGGTTTAGGGTTTACACTTAAAGGATCATGGTTTAGGGTTTAGCGGCTAGGGTGTAGGGTGCAGGGTTAAATAGGGTGTAGGGTTTAGGGTCTACTTAAAGGATCAGGGGACTTCGGGTTCGTGATAAGGGTACTGTAGGGCTCTGTATAGCGTTCCTTTCGAGGGTTTTATAAGGGGGGTGGGGGCTTGGATTACTCAGAGGATCATGGGACTTGGTAACTAGGGTGCTTATTCGGGTAGCTATACTTAGAAATATTTATAGCCAAATTCGGTTACTGCTTAGTTTGTATAACCACACTTGCTAAGTCCCATGGTTCTCAAAGTAGGGAGGATCCCAGAATCCGAAATATTTTGGAATTTCGGGTGGCTTTTTCATCACGGTGTCATGCCGAAACCACAGTGGTTAAATCAATCCCGGCATGCAGGACATACCAGCCGTCAAAACGCCTTCCATGGCAAGCGAAAACCGACAAAGCCCCAGGCCAGCAGCAGAAGACATGTTGGGGACCCCCGAAACCTGACAAAACACAGACCATGCGTCCTTTCAGCACGGGGGAATTCGTTCCGTCTCGCCGACTTGAGCACCGTCCGCGATTGTGGGGCCCGATGGGGCAAGATGCAGTACCTCAAATCACGCGGACGGAAAATTTCAGAAACTGTAGCTCCAACAACTCACTCCCATAGCAACTCTTCTGGGATGGGATTCGGTATGTGGGCATTTCTCAGACCTGACCCCTAGAAGCATCGCCTTTTTGATAAATACTTGCGTTGCTTCCATGTGTGCTGAAATAATTGCCTGCCAACGTGCTCTTCCAAGTGACGATAAGAAAGATACAGCAATCGGACAGGGGCAAACACGTTAAATGCAGGCCACCGAAAACCGAATTTGACCGAAATCGATCGATAAGTGTGCTTCAAATAAACATGATGATGCCTATGGGAGGCACTACGGCACGTAGTGCTTAGCCAGGGCCTGTATATGAACAGTCACAGCAGCTCATACCAGTGATACCCCAACGATTAAGTTAGGCTATCCCGAAGGCTCACTAGACCCAAAAACCGCCATTACATACGGCTGATGATATAAATCCTGCATTACCCATGTTAAGGAATATACACTAATTCCCATAGTTTAGGGTCCTTANNATTTATATCATCAACAGTAGTCCTACGAACCTCGGTATTTCCGACAGCCATAAACTGTGAGTCCTTGGAGCCTTCGAGGTTTGCCAGCCTCCGGGCCCCATAGAAAGGGTTTAGGGTTCAGGGTTTNNTTTAGGGTTTAGGGTGTAGGGAAGACCGAGCCACGCTGGAAAGCCCAAAAGGCTGGCCCAGGCCAGAGCAGCGAAAAGCACAGGCAGCGGCCTGCCCTTGCGGCTTCGGGTAGTGCAGGGGCCTTAATAGTTAGACTAGGGTTTTAGGGTATAGTATATTATGATTATAATAAGGAGCCTCAAAAATAGTATAGGTGACTATTAATTGATTATAATAAGGAGCCTCAAAAGTAGTATAAGTAGTTATTAAGGCCCCTATACTAGAAGGTTGGGGTTGCGGGAGCTTAGGGTTTACAGGGCTCAGCCTTTAGGAGGTGCTGTTCAGGGATCACAAATACCGGGTAAGGTGTAGTCTACATGCGTCCGCGGACAACCAAGATGCCTCTTACACCTATACAGTCTACACCAGCTCATTCCTCCATCCAGTCACAGAAGCGAAACTGCATGCCCTTATATAACGAAACTTCGGCATTGCCCCTGCCCCCCGAACCTGCGTGCATGCAGGCATCCCGGATGCCATGACCGAGAAGACGGGAAGAAGGAAATGAGCCAAAGAGTTCAGCTTCCATGCTGCAGGGCTTAGCGTTCAAAGAGCTTTAGAATCGAATTTAAGGTTTACGGGTTTAGGGGTTTCGGGGTTTAGGGGTTTAGGGGTTTAGGGGTTTCGGGTTCGGGGTTGGGGGTT